GCAACCGAATCCTCCATCCCTCCCAGGAAGGAAGGCAAGGGGAGGGCAGCTTGTGTGTGTATGAGACCCCACTGTGGGGGTGGGTGGCATGTGGGCAGCTTCTAAGGAAGCAGGCCCCCCACCAAAACCTTCTCCATGGCTTCCTCCCCTTTTGCCCCTGGCCAGAGGCAGAAGTTGCCTGCTCGGTGGTCATGTGTGGAGCTGGGGTCAGCCGCAGGCCCAGCCCTTCTCAGCAGGTCTGCCCGACACGTGCCCTGACACGCTTTCCCCACACACGTGCCCCCAGATGGTAGCCTAGGGTCACAACTGAGGAGAGACCAGTCTCGATTAGTGCTAAGTGGCCGAAGGGACCTTTAGATCAGCTCAGTTCCTTCACACAGGAGAAATCCCAGGCTTGGATTTTTCCAGTAAATATTTCCTGTGTTTGGCCGTCTCAGGCCAGAGACAGGGCACCCAGGGATGACAGGAGGGGTGGGGAGGAGCCTGGCTACCTGGCTGGGGCAGGAGTATAGATTCACTCCCCAGAGAGTTGCATCTGTGACTGCCTAGAATGTGGGCCCTGAGCAAGCCCGGGCACCCCGGGGACTGAGAGCTTCCTGTCTTCACCAAGGTGGCAGTCTAGCGACAGGGGCCAACAGGTGACAAGTGACTCAGAAACGTGTGCCCCAGTGTTGTGATTCATGCTTGGCAGGGAACCCAGGGCGGGGGTGGGGACACTCAGGTTCAGGCTTGTGGGAAGGCGGGTGCCCCACGGCTCCTGCAGAGCCAGGAAGCAGTGACCTGGATCCGATGTTTTCTCAGAGCATGAAAGTGCCCTAGTTTTCCCTTTCCTCAGGCTCAGCTGAAGCTACGCCAAGAACTGGCTTTTAAAGGCTGCCTGAAATGTGGTGTGGAGCCAAAAATCTATAGAGCCAGTGCATTTGTGACCTTGTTGAAAATGCTTACTGAGTAAAATCGAGGGGGTGGGATTCGGGATTTGTTTGTTTGTTTCTTTTTTTAAATAAAAAAAAAATCAGTTTGGCCCTCCCCACCCCATTCCTTTCCTCTTGGCCTGTTCTCTCCCTGCTGCCCGACCACTCCAAGCCCCACTGCACTCATTCCTCATTCCGACACTTGTCCACACCTCCCCCATCCTCCCATCCCCCTTGTATCAGGGATGAAAACTAGCAAGTGGGTAAAAATAAGGAGCCTGGGTAAAGCCCTGGAAATTAGGCCACAGCTGTCAGGCCAGGCAGGAGTCCTCTGCATCTGAGGATGTTGCTGCGGGGAGCAGGCACTTGGGTCCACCCCATGAGGATAGATGAGCAACACCCCCCTGTGCCCCCCGTGATGGGCTACTGCTGTGCTGGCCTAGGGAGGGCCAGGAAATGCCATTTGTCAGCAAGCAGACCTGTCCTGGTGCCCATGGGCGGGGCTACCACCATGGCTGAGCTGGTGGCTGCCTCCCAGGGATAGTCACAGACACCACTCGGCCTTCTGACGAGATGCTCTGTCAAAGCACATGGGGTAGGGGCATGCCCAGCCTGATGGAGGAGTCCAGAAAAGCTTCTAGAAAGAAATGCTGTCTAAGCTGAGCCCTGAAAGATCAGAGCCCGGCTAGGGGCAGGGCAGGGAGGGGAAGGTGTTTCCCATGTAGTAAGTGGTTTGCTCAGAAGCACTGGGACCAGGTGCCTGACTGCGTCCTACACCACTGTGGCCTGAGCTGGTCCAGAAAACCCTCTCCACCGACTGTGTGTGTGCACAATCCCTGGGGCGGGGGGTGGCGGGGGGCACACCAACCTCAGACAAGTGGCCACCCTGGAGCCTTGGAGGTGGGAGGCACTGAGCCCTCACATCCTTCAGCCAAGGAGGGGTTGGGGCCTGAACCCAGCACCTCTGTGCTCCCAGGACTGCGGTGAATGGAGGCAAGGGAGGCTAAGGGCTCATTGGCCATAGGGACGTTCATTCATTCTCTGTGGCAGATGTGGCCTCATGTTCCTTCCCCACCATTAAGCACCAAAGGCTAGTGAGTGGCTCAGGAAGCTTGCTTGATGAGGGATTGTGTGGCTACATCATTCTAGAAGGGACCAGCAGTTTGAGCAGATAATCTGGACTAAATTTAAAACCTTCATACTCCAGACATCCCTGCCCTGACTTGTTTGGCTCTGCAGGGCAGCCTTCAGCCAGTTAATTCCAGATGCCTGGGAATGCAGCCCACTTGTCTTATCCTTCATTTCTCCAGGGAAGAGTCAGCTTTTTCCTTCCTCCCACATGAACTGAACTCCTCCTTCCCTGACAGAGAAAAGCCTGCCTCCTTTGAGCCCCTTTCCTGCAGGAGCACCCCACCTACATCTGTCGGTAGCCCCTGGCCCTGACAGCTGGCTGGTTCCTGGAGTTACCTCACTTCCTTCCTGCTCTTGAAGCCTGGGCAGCCGCCCCAGACCAATTCCTTCTGCTTCTCCCGCCCCCCAGTAGCAGGGTCACTGGTTTCTCAGCTCTTCAGCTGTGCACCCCGTCTGTGAGTATTTCCCGTCCCCTGACCCTCCACAGGAAGACGTGTAATCTTCCTGTCTGGGGAAGCCCGAGGGGAGGGGGCCATGGAGAAGCCACTGGCCCTTCATGTCTCTGCTCCCCCTCCTGCCTGTGGTGCCTGAAATAGCAACAGGAGCACCCTCTGTGCCCCCAGTCCCACCCCTGCAGCCCAAGGTCACTCTGCCCTCCACAGGGCCCTGGGCTGGTGTGACCCGGCAGCTGCCCGGTGTTATCTGTCCCTGCTCGGCTGCCACTGCCGAGATGAGTGTCTGTAATTATAGTTCTTGGAAGGTTGCAGCTCTCATTTCGTTTGTGTGGTGTTTGAGAAAAGTTCCGGCCTTTCTTCACATGTTCAGTCCTCCCGAGTCAGCCAGGGGGCTGCTGGGAGAGCACAGGCAGCCATTGGGTGTGCCCCCAGGCCCAGCAGGACGGCAGAGAGAGAAGGGCCAGGCCACAAGAGGCGAGGCCAGAAAGGAAGGCAGGACCATAGACCTGGACAGGGGTGGGGCTGAGAGGGTGGGCAGGGCAGAGGTGGCACCTGATCAGAGGGCCTGAAGCGCTGGCGCAGCCCCCTGAGATTCCCATCTCAGCCCCCTGCCATGATTGTCCCTCCACCTCCAGCACCAGCTCCTAGGGTCCCTCTTCCTTGGGCTTGACCTCGCTCTGTCCTACCCCTCAAAGGCCATCCAGAAAGGCAGCCCGAGACCCTTTGCTCTTAGCCTTGGACGGAGTTTGCATGAGGCAAAGGGACTTTGGGAGCAGCGGGAAGGTGGCCTTCCCTGCTGTGGTGGTGTGTAGGGCCTGACACCCCGCCCTGGAGGAGGCGACTCCCCTCTCTGGGGTAGCGCGGGCTGCGCCTCCATGGAGAGGATGCCCTCTCCTGCGCTCAGCCTCCCTGGAGCAGGTGCCTCTGCCTGAGCAGCCTGGCCCGCTCTCCTGCTCGTATTATGCTAATCACTCTCACAAACAGGCAGACTTAGGAGGAGGCTCGCCTGGTTCTAGATGAAGCCTACGCCTTTGAAGCAAAGAGCTGCAGTAGCTAAAAATATCATTTCCCGGCTGTTGATCCTCTCATTTGTAAGATGCATGTTTCCATTGTCAATTCTGGAAATCTGCTGCAGCCCCACGCGGAGCCCGCAGCCCTGACATCTCGGCCGCCAGAGCCCGCTCTCCCCTGCCCCCTGCACGCTCTCCCCGGGGCAGCCCAGCACGCTCCCCGCAGGGGGAACTCGCGCGATGCCTCCTTGTTTATCGGGAAAAATACCCTTTGAGCCAAAATAAGCGTTGAAAGAGCGCAGAAGAGGATAAAATGTGAAGGACCCTTCACGGCCACCTCCCTCCCCAGGCGAAGCCTGTTTCCAGATTCAGGTATTTCCTTCCCAAACCGTGTGTTTGCGTTTGTAAATACACAGCCGGTTTGGTGTCGGTTGTGGTTGTGGTTTCCAGCACCGAATTCTGAGTCAGAACTGTCCCGGCCCCTCGGCCCTGAACTCCTGGGACACGTCTCCAGCCTCCAGGCCGCAGCCAGGGCTCAGGGCCACGCTTCCTCCCCACCAGGCCAGGCCACGGCGCCGAACCCCATCACACACGCTTTCCTTGGAGGTGGCCGTCTGGTCTGCCCCAGGGGCAGTGATATGATACTGGGAGTGTCAGGGGGCTCCCCAGCAGGCCCCTCATCTGTGAGACCTGGACCTCCTCAGGCGCCCGCAGGACTGTGTCCCAGAGAGACATCCAGATGGCCTCTGGGCCCCCTTTCTTCCTCGCCCACATAGAATCAGGTGAAGATCCCCTGGGCTGGAAAGGACCTTCCAGGTGAAAAGCACATTTCGTGCATCTTCAAATTCCCAGAAAACGAACTGTCACGAAAGGAAGTGTGTCAGCCTCCTGCAGAGGGGTGCAAAGGAGAGGAGCCCTTCCCTGTGGTACGAGGGGTCCCTCCATGCTGTCATTGTCACCATTTCTGCGGGGCCCCTGCTGCCCCGCCCCCCCCCCCAGCCCGTCCACTCTGATCTGATCTTTTTACCGTTTTCAGGAGACTGGGCAGGGAGGCCGCGCTGACGTTTGTGCCTGTCACCAGCAGTGGGGACACGCTCACTGCCAGGCTGTTTCCGACCCTTATCTCCAGGCCCTGTGAGCGGGCCCATGTCCAGGGCTCCAGAACGCAGTCTTGGTCATGGAATTTCATAAAACTCCCAGACGAAAATTGTCTCCCTAATCGGAGACAGTTATCTTCTCTGGAAACCAGAAGTAGCCAGAAAGGCGGGAGAGGTGTGTGCCCGAGGCAGGTTGAGTCCCTCCCTGAGCATCTGAGGGGCCCCGACTGAGGGGAGGTTGGCGGCTCAGGACTGGCTGAGACTTGATTTGGTCGGGGGTGGGGGGTGGGGGGTGGAGGGAAGCAGCCGGGCCTTGCAGGCGATCTCTGTAACCTCATCCCCGGGGACTGCAGGGGCAGTCCCCATTTCTTCTAAGGGAAGGCGCCACCAGGGCTCTGGCCTTAGCAGTTTTGGGTGGCAGTTTTCAGTCCTGACTGTGGGGGTTCAGGTGGACTGGACTGAGCATGGCCTGCAGGTCCCAAGTCTCCCAGTGACTCAGTGAACAGCCAGGTTCTGGGGTCTCTTGGTGAGGGGCTGTTCCTGGCTTGGAGGGCCCTCCTGCTGGAGGGTTATTGTGACACTTCTGGGCGAGTGAGGGCACTAATAAGATTGGGACTAATGGCTTCCTGCTGAGAAATGTGACCAGAGCTCAAGGTCAGAGTGCAAAGGCTGCTCCCGGGGAGCAAATGGCCGTCCCTGGACAGCGCCCCCCACCCCCAGATCCTGGTGCTTCTGTTACCTGCAGGCTATATTTTTCAGGTCACCCCATTAGCTTGAAGGGGGAATTGGCAGAGGCACAGGGTCCCTTCCCCTTATCTGGTCTCCAAGCAGGCTCCACCTCAGGGAACCCCACAGAAGGCCACAAGTACAGGGGTGCCTCCATCCTGGGCATTGGAGCTGTAGGAATTGGATCTTCAGGTGGGTGGAAAGAGGGGCCGAACCAGGGGGGAGAGGTCTGCATCCTCTATAGGTGACATGGTGTGGGGCTGCCTGGGAGAATGGAACGTGAATTCTCCTCAGGGGCTTGACATAGACCACCCCTGGCTTCAGCTTCTTCCTCCATCCTGTGAGCCTGGCTGGGAGTTGGCAGGGCCTGGATGGCCAGGGAGGGTTGGGGCCCGGACACAGCTGGCTGGACTGGGAGTCAGCGTGTGGCCTCTTCACAGGCAGGGTCCAACTTTGTGGGGAGTCTGAGCCCCAGCCTGGGAGGAAACCCTGCTTGGAAGGGTGGTGGGTGGAAGATTCAGAGGCTTCAGATGGAAGAAAGGTTCTGTCGGTGACTCTGATGGCCACCCTGGGGACCCCCAGGTTGTGGGGCTGGGGGATGGTATGTCCTGGCAGTGTTACCTGGGCTAGCAGTCATTCTATCGATGTCCCCTCCCCTTGACCTCAGGTAGCAGCTGGCCTGGGATCCTCACTGAGGAGCTGATTCCTCATCAGAAGCCGCTTCTCCTTCTGGTGAGAAGCCTGATGGAGTCATTCCCGTACATCCCCCTGGGTTTGAATTTGGGTCCTGGCTGCAAGCTGTAAGTACATCTTCTGGATTCTGTCTCCTGCCATTCCCTTGGAGACAAACCAGCCAAGTGGGAAGAACTAAGTGTAGACATGAGTCAGATGATCCCATCCAGGTGTGCCCATGTGGCCAGTGTGGGTCTGTCACCCACAGAGATAGACCCAGTGTGAGGGAGGGGTAGAAGGAGCTGGCTTGCAGATCCACTGAAGGTTGGGAGCCACTGGAAGATTCTGAAAAAATTCAGGCTCTGGCCCAGCAGAAGGCCCTGTATCTGTAGCCAAGGCGCACACAAAGCATCTTGCAGAAAATGCAGGTCCGAGCCCCTGTGCCCACTGGGCAGCAGCTGTGAGCTCAGGTGCTGGGTCAGGCTGACCAGACAGGGTCTGTGGCCAGGCCCCTAACAGGGCCTCCCCTGCATTCTCTGAAGTAACATTGTCTCGTGTTACAAGGATTTAGATCCCTGAGGCCACTAAGTTTAGAGCAATCACAGACAGATGTCAGTTACGTGTGGCCATTACTAGGAAGGAAATGGCAATTCTGCTTGAAGGAAATCCCCTTCACAGGAGCTGTGGCTTGGGAGTTCTCCTGGTGGGTGTGTGTCAGCCTTTCCTGCAGTTGATTGTCATGGAAACAGCAGGGTTCTCTTTAGTGACCTAGCCCTGCGTTTTTTTTTTCGTTTGCTCTGAATTTCAAAAGATGAAACTGTCACAGGCCCTGGGCTTCCCCACCAAGGGTTAGAGACCAGGGGGTGATAGCTCCTGCTGTGCTCTCACCAGGCCTTTGCTTTTTCCTCCAGCCCCCAGCCCACCTCAGTCCTGGGACCCTAACCTATTTGTCTGGACTTCCAGCATGGGGGTCATGCCCCTGCCAACCCACCTGATCAGCCAGGTTCAAGGGCATCTGCATATGGGGTACAAGGGGAAGCCTCTTTTCTGGGACTTCACCTGGACATCTGAACCTGCTGAGTCCCCTCAGAGGCCCCTCCTCAGAAATTGTGGAAGTGCTTCAAGCAGAAACACACTTCACAAAATCCCCACTCTCGGTCAAAATTCTTGGGGCTCCCCCAGGCCCCTGAGCCTGTGCTTCTGGCTCAAACTGAATTCCTCCATTATGTGATCCACCATGCTGTCCCTTCTGGCTGATTCTGTGTTCTACCAGTATCCTTCCCCTGATGCCCCTGGGGACACAGCCCAGTGGGCTTTGGAACCCTGCCTTGGGCTCTGGCAGCTTAGGGCAATAGGAGACTCAGCTGGTGGCCTGTAGATGGTGCTCAGCAGGTTGGGGGGTACATTCCATGTGAGAATGACATCTTGGGGCACTGGCAGGGGTTGAAAATCCCTCTGGGGGTCTGGGATGCAGACAGCCAGAGCAAAGGGGTGCTAGAGGAGTCTGTGAGTGGACAGTGGGGACAGGCTTGGGCAGGTGGCTAAGAGCTTATGGAAAATGAGGCCAAGCAGGCCAGTCGGGCTGTGTGTGAAGATGACCTCTGTCCTGGGGAGCAGGCAGTGCCCCTCATGTAGCAAGAGGGGCCCCCTGACCCCACTGGGCAGTGGAAGAAGCCTCTCCAAATTCTTTTCCACTCTTAGTTTGTTCCCCAAACCTCAAACTTGGGTGAGAAGCCTGCTCCACACAGGGGGCTGAGACAGGGGGTTCCATGTGACCCCGTGGTGTCCTGGACACTTCTTTCCACCCAGAAGTCCCGAGGTGAGCCCAGCCCAGGCTCTGAGCGCCTGAGCCCAGCAGGTTTGGGGGCTGTGGTCCTAAGAGTCTTCTCTTAGAGGGACAGGCAGCTAAGTGGACAAAAGGGCCCTTTCTCCCTCTTGCCACCAGCTCTACCCCTCCCTCACCCCTTCCCAACAACTCCCAGTCAGACCCAAAGAACAAGTCTTGGCGTCTCCTCCCACCCTGCAGCTGCCCTCCCCCACCAGAAACTTTTAAGTGTATCAGACACACCGACTGCATTAAACACGATGAATTCTTAAGGGCTGAGTTGGCAGGGTTACCATGGCTGCCTCTGCCCTGAGGGGCACATTGCCGAGGACTGATGGAAATAAATAAAACAGATTTACAATTTTCATACTTGGGCAGTAGAGAGCTGGAAGGAAAGCGGAGCGAGGGGGCAGCCAGAGGGCGGATGCAGTGAGGCTCTGGAGCTTTCTGAACCTCAGAGGCAAGGCCATTCCTTCTTGCCGCAGCCCTATGTGGCGCTGACCTGAAAGCCGCTTTCTCTTTAAATTCCTAAAGGATCCCAGCTGTGGGCAGGGCCAGGGTGAGGTGGAGGCCCTTTTCCACTGGGAGTGGCTCTGGCCTCTGTATTAGAGGCTGACTCTGCTGTTAGGTCACACTCAGATTTATTGGCTCTGAGACTCCTAGCAGAGCCCAGGAATGCACCCAGGTCCACTGCCCTGGGCCTCCGAGGGGACGGAGACACCATCTAGTGCTAAAGGAGAGAGAAAGCCAGGGCCTGTCCCTTGGTGCACAGTCTTGGCCTGCCCCGGAGGCAAGAGCAGCAGCTGGGGATGGAGATGAAGGGAGGAGGTCCAGGCCAGCGGGTGAAGGGGAAGACCCTGAGTGGGAGCACCCAGGCAAGGGAGACAGAGGATTTGGCATCAGAACACCTGTTCAAGAGGCCCCTTCACTCATTGCCTGCTGCTGGTTGGCTCAGCCCTGGCATCCATGTTCTGAGGCTGGGATCCCCTGTCCTGGGCTGGAAGCTAGAACCAGGATTGCCTGCCTGGTCACCCTGAAGAGCCCACACTGAGCCCACAGTTGGCACCAGCCCCTCCCCAGGCCACCCCACAAGCAGAGAGCTGAGCTCACAGGCGGGTCTACCTGCCCAGTGGGGCTGGCCTGACTGGGTGGGATATGGAAGGTGCCAGGTAGTCCTGAGGCCACAGAGTAGGGCAGAAAGGACCCGGCGGGGCCACAGGGTCGGGAGGGCTTCTGGGCATGTTTAGGGGTGAACTTTTGGGATCAGATGAGGCCCTTCCCTGGGTCCAGCCCACCTGGGGACCCCCAAGTGAAATTCTCTGCACGACTCCAGTCAGTGGCACAAACAGGGCGGGTTCCTGGGGGCTGGACAGGCTGGGACCTGGTCCCACTCTTGGCACAGGGAGAGGGCCCTGCAGACCCGGGCTGCCCACCCGGCCTGGAGCATGGCCACTGAGGCTGACTGAGTTCTCTGTCCATCCCGGGGCCTTTGGGCCCGAGGCCAGAGGGACCGAAGAAGGACCAGACTGAACAGACAGGCAGGAGGAGGGCGCTCCCCACTTTCATGCCATCCCTCAACACTGGCATCTCTTCCCACTCTCAGGGGATCCAGGGTCCCTCCCCGCAGGCCACCGCAACAGCTTCTTGCTGAGGACAGTCTAGAACCAGAGGCTGCGGGAGATGAGGGCACCAGCCTCCACCTCCTCCGAGCCCCCTGAATCCTTTCCTCCTCCCTGTTGGGTAGCCTGGTGGGGTCGGCGCGCCCTTCCCCTACCAGCCCTCAGCTCTGGGCTGGGTGTCCGATGGTGGGGACAGACAGGCGCCAGGATCAGCAGGGCTTTACTTGGTGACAAAAGCTGGAGGAGAGGCCCAGCGGGAGCTGCAGGCACTTCCAGAGCAAATGGCCCAGGGAGGGGCCTGGGGACAATCCAAGGACAGCTGCTGGGGGAGGCTGCTCTGGCTGTGGTAAGGGTACAGGGAGTGGGGCCATGGGAAGGAGTCTTACATCTTCCCTGAACCCACAGGTGGAGTCCTGGTCCCCAGAGCATAACAGGCAGGGAGCAGGAAAGCAGCTCCCCAAGAAGGGCCCCTGAGCTGGGTTCCTGCCCTCGGGGATTCACTCCCAGGTAGGTTCTGGGCCTGGGAAAGAGGCCAGGTGCCTCCTTCTGGGGGTTCCAGGCTGCCCTCACCCTCCCAGCCCCCCAACTCTGTACCAGCTAGGTCAGCTCCCAGGCTCCTTGGGTGAGGTCCCCGCTGCATCACCCCACTAAAAGCCGGGACTGCTCAGCACTGAATCCCATCTCTCGTGTCCCACTGCAGGACAGGATGAACCCCAGGTGGGGGAGGCATCTGGTACAGAGCCGCCCCCACCACCAACCGCCTCGCGCCCCTGGAGAGCAGTGTCCCTTCAGGCCTCCTCTGCATGCTCTGGGCGGGAGGCGGGGCTAGAGCCTCTAAGCAGGTCTTGTCCTCCCAACAAAGGCTGGGCCTCGCCCGCCCGAGGCAGTGGCTGGCCAGGTCCCTGGGGAGAAGCGCATGGGGCCCCTTTCCCACCCCTGCAGGCTGAAGAACTGCCCTGGGCTCCCTGCTGGCCTGGCCTGGGTGCCGGCCCCTCTGGGGCCTCCTCCCACAGGGCGGGCAGCTGCTGTTTCCTGCTCACGGGCCTTCTCCTGCCTAGCCTGGGGCTGCGGGCGTGACCGGCCAGTCTAGGGTCACCTGCAAGGCCAGCTGATGCCCTCCAGGTCTCACTGGCTCCGGCCCATGTGTCACCTGAAGCAGGGGCTGTGGGTGGGTGCCAGGCTGGGATTCAGGGGAGCCCCTTTGCTGTGGCCCCCCTGAGCTCGGGGCCAGAGCCTGGTGCAGGGCGGATGCTTGGCCACTGGTGGTGGTTCAGGGACAGTGACACGAAGCTGACACTGGCCTGGCAGGCATGAGGCCTCTTCCAGGTGGGCACTGCTCCAGCGAGCCTTCCCTTGATTCTGGCCAAGACCTGGGCCTTGTGAAGCTGCCTCGGGGAAGCGCATCTCCCGGACGAAGCAGCCTCCTCTCCTCTTATGAGGTTCTTTCTTGGGCCCCAGGGAGCTTCAGAGCAGGCCTAAGATGGGTTACTTCCTTACGAGCTCCTGCTGTGTGACAGAGAAGTGTCCCCTTCCAATTAGGAATCCAAACCCCTTCCAATTAGGAATCCAAATCCAAACAGGGCCAGCTGTCCAGGGGATTGGCAGAAGGGGCCAGAAGAAGAGACAAAGCCCGGTCAATGGGAACTCCCGTGCTGGTATGAGGGGCAGGGGCCTCCACACTGCATGACAGAGGCCACCTCAGGGCACGCACACTTGGGCCCTGACTTTCTCCAGCCCTACGGGGGGCCACAAGCTTGTTTATAGGGGTTCCCCATGCTTTGTCAGGCCTCTTTAATGACCCGCCCACCCCCATCCCTTCTCTCTGCCTTGTGTCCAAGCATTTTCCTAGCTCTGTCTCCTGATGAATAACACTTTAATATGGGTACTCAAAAATATGGGCAAATGTGTAATGCTTGCAAGCTGTGTTCCATTATTGATGCTACGCTTGAGAGCCAGGCAGGCAGCTCAAGCCGGGCTGGGGCTCAGCAGAGAAGTAATGACGCAGCAGCCCTGCGAGGCAGCCATCTGCCGGCCCCACGGGTGGGGCGGCCCGGCCCCCAAAGCCCGCTCACAACGGGCACTGAGGAGGCCACGCAAGGAGGTTCTGGAAACTGATGTCTCGCGGTCTGGATCTTGCCTTCTTCCTCCCCCGTAGTCAGCTGTGCGGCCCTCTCTGCCTGGGGTGATGGAGGGCCCCCTGCCTGGGCTGTGTGGGGACCAGGCCAGATGCTGCAGAGGGAACCGCGGCCCATGGAGGCTCTGAGGTCGCCTTGTAGGTTGTTCTCTGGACTGGGGTTGAAGTGAAAACTGAACCCCTAGTGTTCCCCACCCTGAGCTTCCTGACAGCTGTTCAGGGCTTTCTAGGATGTGGCCCTGCTGCCCCACACAGACTCACCTGGCCCAGGCCGGGGGTGCCCGGGACAGGGCCCCACACCTGGTGAGTGGCCAGTACTTCCCCGGGCTGCTGATTCCTGATGCCTTGTGGGAGGTAAAGACTACCGAGGGGCTCGCTAATGATTCGTTGTTACCGCCTCTGGGGACTTCACAACCAGCAGCCTGAGAGGTATTTTCCTTTTCCACAAGCCACGGGATGGGACGGGCAAAGGCTGGATGAGGTGATCAGGTTGCTGCCAGCCCCCTCCACAGGAACCAAGCTCCCTCAGAATCTGTGAGCACTGTCTTGGGACCTGAGAGTGGGGGGTGCCCACAGCAGTCCCTCCACCCAGCAGCCTCCAGGGGCAGGGGAGACAAACCCTACAGAGGCAGAACTCGTGATACAACCAGAGCCGGAGAGACTTGAAGACCAGGGGGTGACGTGTGCTCCCCCCAGCTGCTCTCTGTGGGGTCTCAGCCTGGCGTTTGGTGCTGGTTTCCCTGGGCAGGGCAGCCAGGCCCCAGATGATGAGGTGAAGATGTAACAGCTCTCTGTGGATGGGGGTATGCACAGCGAGCAGGGGCCTGCCCAGACCAGCACGGGGGTGAGCTGGAGCGGGACACAGGAATGTCCCCCAACCTGCCCACGGAACCTTTGCTGGAGATGAGCATGGGCCCCCCACGAAGTAGGGCTCAACAGTTGAGATGTGAGTGCCAGGCTTTCTTGGTCTGAATGAAACAAGAGTCACAGGTAGGGTCCTGCCCTTGGCAGCTCATGTCCTGTGGCAGAGGCAGTCAGGGGCCCAGGAAACAAGTCCATCACCAGAGGAGTCCAGGAGTGAGACACACTTGGGGAGAAACTTCACTCCCTTAGCAAGGACAGCAGGAGGAGGGGTGCGCTGGGGAGAGACCTCCCAGAAGACCTGAGCCTGGAATTGAGACCCCCATGGTGGGAAGAATGGCGGCCGAGCTTTCCAGGCTGGGGCAGTGCAGGCCAGGCTGCAGGGCGGCAGCTGGCCAGGAAGGTCAGGAGCAGAAGAGCCCTCGTGGTCAGCGTGCTCTGCATACAGAGGAAACCCAGGCACTGAGGTAGCAAAGGGACCTACTACCGGGAAGTGTGAGCTGAGGAGGCTGGTGAGGGCTGGATATTATTTAGCTCTTGCAGGAAGCTGCTGGGAGTGCCATCCTCTGATTATTAGCACCTTTCAAGGATTGCCCCAGTTGGTACATGGAGGATGAAATTTAGGGGTGTGAGAAAAAGCAGCCCACCCATGAGGAGCCGGCTTGGAATTTACTGGAGGACAGACAGAGAGGCCTTGTGGTTGATAGGACACTGTGGTTTGGGCTGGGGTTACTGAGTGGACAGTGAAGCCATTTCCTGAGCTGGGGAAGGCTGGGGGGATCCAAGTCAAGGCAGCCAGGCGAGGTGCCCTGGAATTTGAAATGTCTGTTGGGTAGAAGGCAGGGCCACCCCCCGGCCCCAGCTGTCCCACCCTGACCTTCCTGGGGTTTCGGGAGCTGCACCTGGAGCCACTGATCTAGAGACCAGACTAGACAGAGCAGCCACCATCACCATGTTAGAGGAGGAGCAGCCGGTGAGGGAGGAGAACCAGAGAGCAGGGTCACTGGTGAAGGGGAAGGTGTTTCTAGAAAACGATGCCATCTCTGCTCTTCAATAGCATCGTCAGCATCCCCTGATTTCTTAGTTACACCAGGAGGCCATGGCGCTTGCTTCTCTCACCGACCCCCTTTGCCTGTCCCTCTGCACCCTCCCCAGCGTCCTTGCATGAGAGCACAACCCTCTCTGGCTGCTGTGGCTCCCCGCTGGCCGGTGGTCCCTGGAGCGCCTGCTGCCTGGCAGCAGCCTCTGCTGTCTCCTCTGTCATGGAGACGGCAGCAGCTGCAGGCGACGGGCGTGTGTGTGACCATTTGTCAGGAGGCTCCCCTTCCTCCCCGGGCTGCCCTTCTGGAACATTTCTATCCCACGGCCCTGGAGACAGGGCTCATGTGGAGTGGGGGTGGGGGTGGGGGGTGGCGGGTGCTGCGAGGGGAGAGGAAGGGCTGTCTATCTCTGAAGAAGGGCCAGCCTGCCCTCCATTCCCTGTGAGCTGGTTGTTTCCACCCGCAATCCCAACAGTGCCCCCATATACCATGTCCTGTACACCCCACAACACTTATCATTATTCTTGGTGGCAACCCTTTGAAGAGCCCCTTGTATAGATAGGTATTGCCCCTGATTAAGAGGTGAAACTGTCACATAGACATGTGGGGTCACACAACCTCTTGTTCTCACCCCCACCAGAGGAGCAGAGGCACCCCCGGCCCTGGCAGAGCCCTCTCTATACATCCCCCCTACCCCACCCGCCACTGTCTCACCCCTCTGCAGCTTTGTTTGGAGCTGTCTGGTGGTTTCTTGCTCCAGTCTACTGGTTCCGGCTGGGCCTAGGTTGGAGACAGCCTGCCCACTGTTTGCTCTTGGTGGTTTGGCCTCTCCAGTTATCAAAGGCTCTGGGATTTCTCCGGGGCTGGGGGTGGGGAAGAATCTTCTTGGGCCTGCGCCTAAGGCATGGCTGGTATCCCAGGGAAGCAGGAAACCAGGCCCTGATACTAGAGAGTGGAGGGCAAGTGCAGTGACCTAGGGGGGACGTGCCTCGGGCATGCTGGCTTGGAATGTGGCTCAAATCGTTCAGCCCACGAAACTTTGGGGCCTCAGACCTCTCTTTGTCCCCAAATCTCATAGACCTAATCTGTGGGTGCTTCCTGGGAGCAGAGACTAAGAGCTGGGCAGACAACATTCAACCCTGGGCTGGAGAGAGTGGGGTGCTGTGCACACCAGACCCCACTCCCCCTGCTGGCCTGCTTTTGTGAGGCCCTACCTGCTTCCTTCTCTGCTTCCCTGGAGGCCCAGCCCGCCCCCCCCCCCCCCCCCCCCGTGTTGGCGCCCTGGGGTGTCAAGAGGCTTCCTCTGAGCCTGTGGCTGTTAATGTCACCTTGGCTCAGGGACCCTGACAGAGCTGCTGTTCTTCATTCTCTGGGAATTCTGTTTACCATTTTACAAAATGGAGACACTTTGCTAAAAAGCCCCTCGAGACTGTCAGCAGCGAGAAGGTGGGAAGGAGAAGCATGCCTGTCCCATCTTGGGGCCTTTGCTGGAGTTTTCGTCATCTGAACAGCAAGGTCGTCACTCAGGGTCATCAGGAGGGTTCACTGGCCCCGCAGGGATCTGAGCCTTCTACCTACAGGCAGCCTGGGCAGGGAGCAACTTCAACAGCACAAACAAGTTCCTGACCGGAGTGCTCCTGGGGTGGGGGCTCAGCACACACATGGCCAGTGTGTGTGAACTGTCACACGAAGATAAGTTCCATCTGATGATGAAACCGGGCAGGGGCCAGCAGTGCCTGGAGCTGGGGGGCCACATGGTTGTGGAAAATGGGGCATCTGGATGGTAACTCAGAACTCTCAGAGGACTTTAGTAGCTAGAGTCCCACTGTATGTCGGGGAATTTTGTTTTCTTGGCTGGGGCATAGTGGGGGGTAAGGCTGTGGGGCTCTGGAGGTGCATCTTGGTGGGGGCCCAGCTCTGCTGTGAACAACACCCCAATGGCTCCCCTCAGGCCTCAGAACCAGGTTCCAGCACAGCCCCAGGAGAGAGCAGCTTCCCTCAGGGGCTGCCGGCCAGGACAGGGGGCAGCCTGGGCCGTGACCTCCGTCCACCCGTCTTCCAGGCAGCTGTGCCTCCTGCTGAACGCTGAGAACATCTTCCACTCGATGGCAGACATCTTGCTCCGAGAGGAGGACCTCAAGTTCGCCTCCACCATGGTGCACACCCTCAACACCATCCTGCTCACCTCCTCTGAGCTCTTCCAGCTCAGGAACCAGCTCAAGGACCTGAAGACTCTGGTAAGCCGAGTCCATGGCCCGGGTCCTGCGTGCACGCGCCAGAGGCTGGCGGGAGGAGGGGCAGTGGGGAGCTCCCTGGTCTGTACAGCACCGACCCCCTGGGCGGGCTGTGTGGCTGCGCCCACCCTGGCAGCAAGTCACGGCATGTTTCCGTGGGGCCTCCCGCCAGAGGTGTCCCCCACAGAAGGCTCCTCCCTGTCCCCCGGGTCCAGCGCCTCTCCCACTCACTGACACCCCACCCCACGCCACCCCGCACACAGATGGGCTCGGCGCTAGGCCTACCCCGTGGACCCTGTGGGGGGCGTGCTGGCTGGGTCAGGCCTCCGGGTTATATCTTGGCCACGGGTCAGGGGCTAACACTCTCCTTGGCTCTGCCCGCTCTCCCCGGCTCGTACTCTGCCCTGCGGGGCACCCGTTATAAGTCAGGGCTTGGTGCTGCCTGTCCCAGGCTGTGGGTGAAGACCCGCCAGGGCTTCTGAGAGAGCAGGGAGGCGCTCGCCCGGCAGCCCAGCAGAGCAGGACCAGGAATGTGGGTGTCAGGCCTCGCTCTGCCCTGGAAAGTGGGGGAAGGGGGGGTGCTTGGCCCAAGGGGCTCTCAGGACACCCAGGCCTGAGTCTGAGGGCATGTGGGGCCAAGCGGCTAGAACGTTCCAGGCCAGCCCTCCTTCCTCCTGTGGCTCCTTCCAGACATTCACAGAGGCCTTAAGAATTTCCCTCAGGCAGGGGCTCCCGAGTGTGGGCTCCCTCCCTGCAGTTCCTGAGTGAGAGTGAGTTCCAGGGAGTGGGGGTGTGCTGGAGAGCAGGGAGCCATGGCCTTTGAGGATGAGCGCACACGCTGCCCAGACGGCTGTCCCCTGTGCCCTGCTGTCCCGCCGGCCGCGCCCCCCCAGGACCACAGAGTTCTGGGAAGGACAATTACCGCCATTTGCTGAGGGCAGAAACGCCAGCACAAAGGAGAGTCTCCCTCCCGCCCAGGCCCTCGCTGCCACCACCACGTGGCATGTGGGACTGGGAGGTAATGACAGGGTCTGAGGAGGCGCTGTCAGCATTTCCTTTGTGACAGCTCCTTCCCAGCTGGGCTGCCAAACGCAGCCTGGGTGCTGAGCTGGCTCTCAGCACTCTGAGAGGACCCCGAGATCTTGGACTAGGCCCTTCCCTCCATGCAGGTCTCCAAATGGGCCCCCCAGAGGGAGGTCAGAGGCTCTGCCTGCTGTCCCACCCTTCCCTACTCAGGAGAGGGCTGGAGCTTACACATCAGGTGTGTTGCTTGTGATTTGCTCAGGGACCTTTGGTTCCACAGATAAGGAGCCCAGCAGTCCGGCACATGACACACGGGGAGAAACTGGCTAGATGTAAGGTCTCAGGTAAAGGGAAGACACCCCAAAACTCCCCTTACCCCCCACTCCAGCACACCTCAGGGCCTGCCTTAGTAAAAGGCCCCATGTCAGATTTGGTTTAAAACACTCTGAGGCAAACCAGCCTCTTCAGTGAATGTCTGGTATGTGGGCCTTGGTCGGAGCATTACTTCAGATGCAAAATTGGTGGTCTTCCTTGATGAACCAGGAGTTGGGGGTCAGGAGAGCAGGGCCCTGAGTGCCTTGGTGAGGATCAGCTGTGACCTGGCTCCTTGCAGGTGCCTGCTCTGCTTCCACAGCCAAGACCAGGATTTGCTCCTCTCAGCCTCTGGTGTGGCCCAGAGACCACAGGCCACACACACACCCCAACCCCTACCCGGGCTCCCCACGTTCTCCACAGCCATGGTGTTGGCCCTGCTGACCAGCATCTACTCAGGCAGGTCCAGGGGCCTCCTTCCCAGCCCTCCTGCCTCAGTCTGCAGGGCCCTGAAGAGAGCATCCAACCCCAGCATCAGCCCCAGGTCCTACCAGGCTGCTGTTAGGGTAATGGTAACATGGCCTCTCCGGGAGTTGGTGGCTCAGCCTCCACAGAGGATTTCCTGGGTGGACTGATATATGCTAGATGGAAGCCACAATTCTGGAGGGGCCCTGAGGAGGATACCTGGGGCAATTTAGTCTGGGAAGGTATTGGGCATGACCAGGTGTGTGTCTCTGCCTGGCTGTGTGCTGGTGGGGGGCCTGAGGTGGAGACCCCAGACATGCCGGGCCTGGGGTGTGGACAGCAAAACACACAAGTGGTTTCCAGCCCCCTACCCTGCAGCTGCCCAAGTCCAGTCTCTCTCTAGCCCACCCCATTTCTAGCCTTGTGTGGGGGCCCGTGTGGAGCAGACGAGGGTGTCTGTTACATGACAGGCCTCACCCCTCATCTGGAGAGGCCACCTGGGGACAGGGGACCTGCCCAGCAGCAGGTCTAGGGTCACCAGAGGGGGTGACTGCTGGGAAGATCAGGCAGAAGGGCAGGTGGGAGCAGGAAGAAAGAACTTGAACTCCATTGTGGAGCCTGCTGAGGTGCTCGCAGGGGAGGGGAGGTGTGCCGGCTATGTAGCCACATCACCACCACCTGGCTGGGCCTCTCTTGACCAGGCTTGGCAGGGTGTCTGGGCTGGGTGAGGTTCTAGGTCGTGCCTGACCCCCTCCCCCTGCCCCCAGCCCTGCTGTAGGTCTGCACCTGCAGCTGCTCGACGTCAAGAACAACCCGTACCTGATCAAGGCCCTGTATGGCCTGCTCATATTGCTGCCCCAGAGCTGTGCCTTCCAGCTGCTGTCCCACCGGCTCCAGTGCATGCCCAACTCTGAGCTGCTGCAGACCGAGTGAGTATTGGCCGGCCTGCCCTCTGCACTGGGGCCCCCAGCTTCTGCCTCCCAGCAAGGTCAGGGCCAGAGGGCCTTGGTGAGTAAGGGGAGGACCACAGTGAAGCTCAGTAACTGGGGGCTGCTACTAACTAGCCAACACTCCATCACCTGGATTGCTGATCAGGGCGCCCTGAGTCTCTTGCTGAGTCTCAGGATGGAGTACTGAGGCCGGGGTGTGGTCTGGAATGTCTGAGAGGGGAGAATTCAGATATGGGACAAAAATCACAGTGCTCTGCTGGGAGGTAGATAGGGGGGTAAGTAGAGAGGGGCTCACCTGTGACCAAATACCCTAACATTTGGAGAGGGAGATCTGTCCCCCTCCTGGTGGACAGACTGACCAAAGATGGCAGAATAAGAAGCCTGGGTTCTCTAGACACATCTCTGGGCCACAGTTCTCTCTTGTCCAGGCCAGCATGCCAGCCCCCATCTGAGGCCCTTAGTAGGATGGGCAGGAGGCCAGAGTCATAGGCCTGAGCGGCCACATTCTCACAGTGCAGAGGTTGCCAGAAACTTCCACAGCTCAAACCCCTCAGCACTCCCACCTCTTAAAAACAACCAAGCAGGAGGTGGCCTAACCTGAGTTGAGGTATCCTGAGTGGCTGATGGGAGCCTCGGGGTGCTGACCAGGGCCTGGCCTGCTTTTGCCCCCCAGACTTCTGTCTGCCAGAGTAGACTGGAAGGATAGGGCTAGGAGACTAGGAAGGCCTGCTGAGACCCCTGCCTAGCTGTGTGGAGGGCACAGGTTTGGGCAGGGTGTGTGGGGGAGAGCAGCTACTTCCTGTGTGTGCTGACCCAGTATCTGGGGCATCTCAGTGCTCACTCTAGCGACAAGGGGAGGCCCTGCTGCATGCCTCCCTGCCTTAGTTTCTCACTAGCCCACCAGCCACTTTTCTGACCTAACCAGTCCTCGAAGTCTAGTTGGCTTGCACTGGAATCTGAGAGGTGTTCTCAGGCAGGGCTGCGGGTGTGGCAGAAGGCTGTGCAAAGAACACACTCTCTCTCAGAGCCTCACTTGCTACAGGAATGGTCAGCCCCTCTCCAGGGAAATCATTTTTTTTTTTTAAGAAGATGTATTTATTTATGCATACAAGAACTGAGGTACAGGCCAGAGGTGCAAGGGGTGAGAGGCTTCACCAGAGAGAGAGTGGGGAGCAGAACAGGCAGATCCACCAAAAGACACTGCTGGGGGGAGCAGAGGGTGAGACAGGAGAAGTCTGCTGTGCCATGTGGGCTGCTTCCTGGCCACCCGGGGATCGAACCCATGCTGCAGTGCCTGGCACAGCTTGATAGCGCTGTCTTTAACCCCTGCGCCACCAGGGAAGCCCAGGGGGAACTCATTTCTGCGCAGTGGGCCCCTCCACTGGTCATTTCAGCCCGCCTCTGCTCTCAGTACTCCTAACAGGCCCGACTGGAAATGGCCATCTTTCTCAGTGATTCTGATAAAAGCCAACTCTGCTGGACCCTCCTGTGGGAGGGGCCCTGGGCAGGGGCTGAGCCGGAATAGGAGCTCAGCGTCCAGTTCCTCTGGCCCCCTCTCAGGATTTGCTGGGATGACAGGGCTAAGGGCTTTATTCTGAGACATTACAGACAGCACAGTCTTCCAGGTCCACCAGGGTCCGTGGGTAAGCAGCTCCAGGGCCCAGGAGGCAGGGAAGAGGTGGGGGTGGGGAGCTGGGAACAGCCTGGGCCTGTGTCTCAGGAAAGAGGCAGCCCTGAGGGTCCAGCAGAGCAGATTTCTAACCCCTAGTCCTGCTGTCCTTCTGTCCACTGCCGCTCTGGTCTTTCTAGAGGGGACAGTGGGCTCTGGCAGGAAGTTCATGTGACTGCCAGCTGGACCAGGGCAGAAAGATGCTGTCAGGAGCGCTCTGTATACACATCACAGAACCAGGCCGGTGGGGTGGGCGGCCCGAGAGCCAACCCTGCAGATGTTACTAAGTGAAACCTGATGTGGCGACATGAGAATCTGCAGGCCGGCTCACAAACAACCTTCCGAAGCTGGGATGTTTTGGATTGAGTTTTGTGGCTGTGACGTGAAGGAGCCTCACATGTCAGGATAAAAATAGCCCTGGCCTCAATACACAATGCAAAGTTACAGTTCCACAAAACCAGATGTGAAAACATCAGCGGCCCAGCCCAGGCCTGACAGGGGCCCTGCTCCCTCCACACCCGCCTGCCCTCCTGCCCCCACCCCTCCCTGCTGGGCCAGGGCCCATGTGCCTGGCCAGACCCTGGAGTAGGCTGTTGGGATCTGAGCTCTCAGAAAACGGGGTGGGGAGGTCCAGGGTCCCAAGTCAGATATTGATCCAGTCGCTGATTGACAGGACCTTCTTGAGGGAGTGATATTTTCTTCAGGGCCAGGTCCTGTCTGAGGCTGGCAGGCGGAAGGAACATAGCGCCAGAGGTGACAGGTGGGGAATGGATGGCTTCCTCCCAGAATCGGGGCTGGAAGAAAGGGAGACCATGGCCTCTTATGAAACCGGTCTTGGGGTGAGGAGTCAGCTGCAGTGGATCACCTGTCCCCTGGGACTGTGTGGACTAAAGGGAGATTCAGAAGTTCAGATGTTGCAGCAACAGCACCCTGGGGACCCAAGCCAAGAGGAGGTCGCTGTCATTTCTGTGGGTCAGCCCCACCTAAGCCGGGAAGCCCTCTGCCCCAGGCTGTGACCCAAATCTAGGAGAATTTCCATCTGCTCCAGTCAAGGCAAGAGATATGCTAATGGGCCACAACAGGGCCCTGAGGGACTTAAGCTGACCAAGCAGTGGAGGGGGCTGCCCAGGGCAGCTCAGGAGAGAGGAGGAGGAGGAACTTGGGTTGGAGGGGGCTAGTTCTCCCTCTGGAGACAGTGAGAACTGGGTAGCAGTGTGAGGGGGCTTTAGACTGGTCTTGATGACCAGGTAACCGCCCTGGCACCTCCTCCTGCCATCAGAAAGCCAGGCCCTGACCCCTACTTGGGCATCTGATGCTAGAGGTTTAGAGTTGAGTGCCACAGACCTCTGGCACCTGAGATGGCTGGTGTCCAACTGTGAGGAGCACACCTGTCACCTGATAAAATGTGACTCTGAGCCTGGAGGGGCCTGAGAGCCTGCATTTCTGAAGATTGTCCTGGTTCTGGCGCAGAGGCTGCCACAAGAAGCAAGGGTTGTTCCAGGAGAGAATCAAGGGGTCACCCCATGCAAGGTGTGATGGGGAGAGGACAGCAGCAGAGTAGGGGTTCTGGCCTGGGGTGTGGGGAGCAAGAGTGAGTGATTATGACAGGGACAGAAGCCACGGCCTCACCTCAAGGAGTAGCTCCATCAGCTCCACGTGTGACTCGCACACGTCCCGTCACCCAGTCTACAGAGGTGACAGGTGGCACAGAGGCTGGACACTTGCCCAAGATCACAGGACAGGTGGGGCGGAACCCAGATCTTCTGACCCCAGCATCCCTCCTCTTCCTGCTGCATGAAAAGGGGGCACAGGCCAGGCTTTCAGTGTCCGGGGAGCCATCTGTCGTGGCGGGAGGGAGTGGAGGGCAAAGGAGGGAGGCAGGCAGGCAGTAGGGCAAGAAATGAGTGGCCTGAGACCAGTGGGAGGGTCTGAAGTCACTGTGAAGAGGAGGGGCATCCTCAAAACTGCCATGTGGGGGTACCACCCAGCACCCAGAGAGAGCAGACAGCACTGCACCTCCCTTTGGGTGGAGGGAGTACCCAGAGTTGGATGACAGTGGGGTTCACATGTGCTCCCAGGTGGGGTGAAGAGAGTGGCTATCAGGTCAGGCTGCCTCAATCCCTCATCCCTGGTGGGGATGACAGCGTGCTCTCGTGACAGGGATGTCGTCAACAGATGGGCTCAGCGAGCTGACATGGCAGCACTTCTGACAGTGCCTGGGCCCAAAAAAATTCCAAGTATCACAGTGGCTGTGTATTATTGGAGAAAACAGGTGACTTCTTGGGATTCTTCTAGAGTTTGCTTCTGTCCAATAACATGAAGTTATTCCTGACGTTTGGCCACACTGGCTTGGGCTAGCAGGAATGAAATGGATTCAGAAAATTTCATTTTTGTCAGCAGGGAAGGTCAGGGAAGACAGGATTGTGGGGGTAAACATCGGTCCTAGGTGACCTTTGGCCCCAGATTGCTACACTGCTTCTTGACCAAGGCTGGCCTGGTGTTCCCGAGGTCTGGCCACTCCCCTCTATCAAGAGGCTGATCTGAGAGGCTTCTGCTCCTGCCTGCCTGGCTCGAAGACCAAGGTTTGGCCCCAGGTCTGCCTGAGGGCCCTCTTTGTTGCCTCCCCTGTGAGTTGAGGCCTTGCAGACTTCCTCCTGCGTGGAGATGGCAGAGAAGGCACAGAAGTTGACAAGTTACAGGAGGACAAGCAGTTGTTTTTGTTTCATTTCACCAAATCACAAGCTGGGGTGACAGGAACACATGTGTCTCTGCACCAGCTTTGCTTGGAGCTGCCACCCAGGCCACTCCCCCCTAATTGCCTGAGAAGTGGTCCTCTTCCAGCCTGGGTTCCCTTGCAGGTCTGAAAAGAGAGGGCTGGCTCTGCCTTGGAGGGATGTTTACTCAGGCAGGGCGGGAGGGAAACCCCATGTCCCCCTGCTGTGGCGCCTTTAGACCAACACAGCGGCTACCCAGGCGTGTGCTGGGCCCGCTTCCCCGCTGGCAGCTCTAGTCTGCACATCTGAGTTCATAGCCCCAATGTGTAGGTAGGGACACTGGTTCCCTGCAAAGGCCATTGATTCCACAATTACTAGGCTCCCTATCTCCTCGGCTTTCCAAGGAGTTGGCGAGTGGGGAGTGGGGTGATCTCTCCTAAAGGGACACAGCCCCAATGCCTTCGAGTTCTCCCTCTGTGCCCTGGAGAGTCGGAGGAAAGCAGGTTCCAAACAGGAAAGGTCTGGCCTTGCAGCCTGTGCCCACGTGCCTGGCCAGATGGAAACAGACAAAACAACCCCCTTGCAAACCAGAGAAGCAGCGAGAGAAGGAACAGCCTGCAGAGGAGCCACTGTCCCTTCCTGCAAACTTTCTGACCCTCAGAGTCACCCCAGCATCCTGGGTGCTTGGTGTGATCCCACCCTGTGACGGTTGAGGCGGGAGAGGGAACAGGGCCTGGCTGGGCTTCCCATTCCCTTTCCTAAGCTTGACATTGACCTTTAAAAATCCCAGAGACACTTGAAAAATCTGATGCCAGCCGCGGACATGCATGTGTGGCTCCCACATTCCTTGAAGGCACAGGTGGCCGTACTAGGCCTTGCGTTCCTGGCAGCTTGACTTTCCCAAGGGTAATTTCCTGGATGGAATGTCTTCCCTGCTGATGCTCTTGGTGGTTATCTTCTGAATTCAGGGCGAGCCCCTGCCTGCCGTGAGCCAGCCTGACATCCCTGGTGAGCTGGGGCAAGTCTTCACCGTAGGTCTCGTGAGCGACTCCCCCATCCTGGTGGAGCCAGGAACTGGGGTTCAGAGAGCTGGGCCATGCAGGTCCCCCTCTGTCCCGCTCGAGCAGCTCAAATGACTTGTGCAGCAGCCGCTCCCCCAGAATCCTCTGTGCTAGGTCCTATTGCCCCAGGGCACACATACCAACCTGGGCATCTGCCAGCACATTTCTCCACTAATGAGTCAGCTTGTCACGGTCATCAGAGTCCCTGTGACCAGAGGAGGAGAAACCTCTTCTAGATAGAGAAACAGATTACAGAGTCCTGGGGAGTCAAGGTGTCCTTTCCGTGCCTCAGGATGTACCAGCCAGCTCCTGCTTCTCCCACTTTCAGGGAGGGAGATGCTCCAATCTCGGCTTCTTGGTCTGGGAGACCGCCCCCCAGATGCTTTATCTTGGCTACTGCCCCTCATAGCTCTCATCGCGGTCCCCACTCCCACATCAGGCTCAGCGCTGTGCTCAACCTCTGTCTTCCTTGTCCCCTGTCCGGGGACTTCAGGCTGATCCCTGACTGCTCACTTGGGGCCACAGAATGAAGAAGGACCCTGGGGCTATGGACAGAGAGTGGGAACCCCCAGGAGGGGTCCCAGAGTCAGGATGTGGGGTCTCCTGACCATGACTTCTGATTGCCCAGAGAAAAACAGTCGTTGGCAGGGAAACCACTGCTTCCTGGGAAAACAAGAGAAGGAAGCTGGGGTGCCACAGGAGCCCCCTACTCCTTCCTTGCTTCATCAGACACAGCAGGAAGTTGGGGAATGGCTGCAGGTGGAGCATGCGCAGAGGAGGTGGTCTGGAGCCAGAGTCCTATGGGACCCCCCGCTGCAGGGGCTGATACTTCCGGCATCACCGGGGACACAGCTTCAATGCCAGGGCCTCCTGACTGGTGGGCAGCGGGGCGAGGTCAGGCGTGCAGGGCCCACCCCCCAGGTTGTCCTGCAGCTCTGGTGGCTCCAGACCAGGTGTTCCCAGGGCAGATGCCGGAGGCCCTTCGGGGGACCAGCATGGTGGGGTGACCCAGGGAGGAGGCCCTTGAAAGGCGCCCCAAACCATCTGCCCCTTGGTTTCTCCATCAAAGGAGGAGCATGTAGGGCCTTGTGTCTGGGTGTCAAGAGCCGCTCCAGGGGCAAAGAGACTCCCCAGGCAAACACCGGAGATCCGGGGGGACTTCCCTGCCGACTTGCATCCCGAGCACTGTCCAGGCTCTCACCAGAGAACGGGCTCTGCGTGGAGCAGCAGCGGGTGTCGCCTCGGCCCGGGAGAGCCGCCCGCTGCCTGGAAGGAGCCGGAGGGGTGAGGACCAGCAACGCCTCGGCACCTTCGTGTCCAAGGACCTCCCGAAACACACTGCTTGAATTACTGAGTCCTGGCTGGGCTGCCTGCCATGCTGTGGCTATTTATAGCTTCTCGGCAGGAAAGAAGTGGCTGCTGGCCTCCCAGCTGAGGGTCTCCCAACCCTTGATTCCTGACCGGGGAGAACCTGCCCAGGGAAGTGGGTCAGCCCGTGGCTCGTGGCTTGGGAGTAGGAAAAATGCAGGGAGATGAGGAGCAGGCGTGGGAGGGGCTCTTACGGGGGTTGGGAGTGTAGCAGCTGGAGTGTGAGGAGGAGGAACAGGAAGTTGGGGGCCCGAGGACCCTGGGAGGATGTGGACCGACCCTCAGGGCTGAGCGTGCCAGCCCCGAGCATCGGCCCATCCAGGACCTGGGCACCAGCTTTCCCAGGGGCCTGAGGCTTGTAGGGGTCACCTGTCCCTATCATCTTTGTGCCTGTTTTACCTATAGGTGTACCCTGGCAATGGCGTTGGCCCCTGGCAGATGCCCAAGAGGCAGATGAACGGACAGAGCCCAGGCCAAGAATGAGCAGGGCAACCGCAGTCTCTGGTCCAGGACCAGGGAAGTGCCACAGAGGCTGAGGTCCCTGGGGTGGCCCTGTGCTCCACGCAGGCCAACCTGGTGCAATATGGCAACTACAGTCAAGTTGAGGCCACTCAGGGCTCTGTGGGCTGATGACCGACTGGAGGTAGGTCGTGGGGAGGGTTTGGCCCAGGCACAGCCTTGTAGACCAATGAAACCAATTTTATCTAATATATATAGAGAGAGCTACTATCCTTTCCTGCCGTTCCTGTCTCAAGGTCACAGATGTGCCAGCACCTCATCCTACCCTGTCCTGGTTGTCACTTCTCCGGGGTTCTTTCCACCCGAGGCTGCTCGCCCTTTCAGGCCCCTGGATCTTCTCAAGCAGTGGCTTATCAGGGACAGTTCCCGGCCCAACGGCTGCTTTTCTCCCACCCCTTTGTGCTGCACCCGCCTCCCCCAGGTAGGACCTGGCACTCACATGGTGTCACCTGCCACCTGTCCCACCCTGTGCTTCCCTCTGTCACTCCCCCTTCTCAGCATCAGCTGAGTCCCTGCTGAGCCAGGGGCTGGGTCCCAGGTGAGTCAGACCTGCCCCACCCAGACCGGGAGGAGACCCACAAGGCCTCCCTGCGTGCACAGGTAGAGGGCACTTGGAAGCATTCGGGGCAGGCCTGCGGGCAGTGGATCCATGATGTTGAAGAATGAGTGGGTAAGAGGCCCAGACAGAGCCCAGGAGCCAGTGCTGCCCCTGTGCCCAGGCCAAGCATGGGGGCTCTGGGGGTTACGCCCCAAAGCGGGGAGGTCCAGGCCTCTCCTCTGGTGGAGGGCAGGGTCCCCAGAATGCTCTCTGCTTCAGAAATGGCAGAATGCGGGTACAGAGAAGATATGGGTAGGGGGCACAGACATGGGGGTGGACAGCCCCTAGCCAGGCCTCAGCAGCATGTACACAGGCCTGTGATGTCAGGTTTCTCAATCAATCTCTGTCTAAAGGTTAGGGAGGTGAAAGGAGACCAGGAAATTGGGTGGGGGAGGAACTCATCTCAAATTCAACAGTGAGGCAAGAAGTGAGCCTATGGTGCCTCGAAAAGCTAGGCCTGGGGTTCTCGTGGGCTTCCTCTGCTCCTAGTATTCACCCAGAGGCCGAACACATGTCCTGTGATGACTCGGGAATGTACAGGCTGTCCTGTTCATCAGCCAGAAAGTGGAAACCACCCCAAGTGCCAACAGCTGATAAACGGATAAACAGGACATGGCCCATCCACGCCAGGGAATATTATTTGGCAATAAAGAGGAATGAAATTCTGAGACATGCTAAACATAGATGAAGGTTGCAAACATTTGCTCCGTGAAAGGAGCCAGATGCAAAAGCTCACAACATACTGTACAGTGATTCCATTTATGTGACGTGTTCGGAACAGGCAAATCCTCAGAGACAGAGCAGGGATTCTTGGTTGTCAGGGCTGTGGGAGGGAATCCTGGGGAGTGCCTGCTCTCATAGTTTGGGGTATTTTTATGGACTGATGACAATGTTCTGGAATTATATAGTACTGGTGGTTGCACAACCTCATGAAAGTCCTACAGACCAGAGCTGTTTAAAAGGATGGAATTTATGGTATAGAAATTGTATCTTGGGGAAAAAAAAAATCAAGTCAAAACTCCCAAATGGGGACCTAATTCCCAATTCAGTGGCACTCATAAAGCAGTTTGCTCTTGCTCTGCCCATCACCCGAGGTCGGGGATCTTGCCAACTCCGACCACCTCCCCACTGATTTGGACTTACAGGAGGACTGAGAGGACAGAGGACGCCACCTCTGTCTCTTTTCATCTCTTGGCACCTGTCAGCCTGGATGGACATCCCACACCTCTGAGCGGCAGACTCTTCCTCTTAGTTGTGGCTGTGCAGGTGGGTAGAGGCAATCCGTCTCCAGGCAGCAAACTCTGGCAATCAGATGATAAAAGTGAGAGCCAGTGAGGCAGCTGGGGCTAGGCACACTTGGTAGATCCCCACCCCTCAGGGCCACACTGACCCCTGCCTGGTTTCTGGGGATACTTATTTCCCTGTCAAAAAAGAAGCTTGGGAAGAAGCAGAATACCTGAGAGGCCCAGTCTTAGAGATCTTGCCACACACCAAGTGGCCCCAGGACCAGGCTGCAAGGGTTGGGGAGGCATTGGAGGAAGCTGTGGTTCTCTCAGCCAGGATTAATGCTCTCCCTTGTTAGTCTCACCTTGCATGTGGTCATGTGCTCAAGGTAATGGGGAGCTCACTTCATAGGCAGCTAGAAACCTGTAAGCCACACCGGGCTTTGTGGGCACGGTCCAGACTTCCATTCTCACCCTGCCAGTCAGCCATGCCCCAGCCAGACAACCCCTCTCCTCAGCATCTCTGGAGCACCCAACATGGATGGGGCCTGTGCTGGTTCTGATACTGGGCAATAAAGGGCACTAAAGCTGGCCAAGGACAGTACCCAAATAGTGCAGGGCTGAACAAGGACTGACCTGCCTCTCAGGGTCATAGGTGGAAACACAGATATGCAGCCAACAGAGGCCTGGAAAGTACCTGAACATGCACCTGCTATGGGAACAAGGGGCAGAGGCATGTGAAGCATTCTCTTTTTAGCATAAGCTGTTCCTGAACACAGACCCAGAACCACAAGGCACCTTCTAGGAAACTAAGCTGTGGTCTAGCTCTGAATTGGGCTTGGGATGGGAGTCAGGGCAAGGCCAGAAATCAGGCAGATGACATGGCAGGGGCAGGTCGTGGAAAGTATGACCCAGACAGAGAGGTCTGAACTTGGCTTTGCAAGCGATGGGGAGCTTCAGTTTCCTTGCATGTGCACTTGGAGATTGACTGTGGCGAGGCTGTTGTGAGGATTACAGAAGGTATTTTATGTGCTGCTTCTATTATGAGGTTTTTGGTACCGCAGTCAGGCTTGGTCGGTAGCCCTGGCGTAGGGGCTGGGCAGGGATGGCCGTGGTCAAATTCAGGGCTGCAGACTTCATTTCTTCACCCAAGGGAATCTGCATTACCCATCTCCACCACCTCCTCCCGACTCACTGGAGAGCTCAGCCAGCAGAGCTGCATACTTTACATTTTGAATTCTCTTATTTTAGAAAGTTTAACACCAAATGGCAAATGAATGCAAATTACACTTCAATTGCACAATTAAAGCCGGAAATGTTGTCTGCAGGTTCCTTCAGTAATCCCAACCTCTCCTCTAGTGCTTACATATCAAAAGATTTGTCTCTGGTCCCCAGGACTGGCAGAGAGCCCACAGACAGCCTTGCCTGAGGCCATACACACACACACACACACACACACACTCACACACACATGCACACACGCACACGCACTTCCCCTTCCTTACTTAAAGTGGAGTCGTGAAACAGCACCATCTCCTTCAGCCTCCTAGAGGCGCAGAGGGGACGGGTCTTCCAAAATAGAAGGCAAGGACCAGCTTGAAGAGGGGTGTGGGGTTTGCAGGGATCTGAGGTGACTCTGACATCCAGGCTCCAGGATGTCAAGGAGCCTGGAGCTGGCTGTCCCTCTGCTAACCAGCAAACCCAGTCAAGCCCAGGGACTAGACTGAGGCTGTGGAGCACTTAACAGAGGGCAAGGCCAGGACCTGGCCTTGGCCTGCAGGGAGAGACCCTGAAAGGCAGGGTCAGCAAAGGTCTGGGAGGCAGGGAGAAATAGGGGAGCTAGAGCCTCTGTTCTGGCTGCACCTGGTTTTGAGTTTCCCTGCCAGGTCACGGTTCTGATGGTCCCCCTCCCAGGCACCCCCCTCCCCCCGCCCTGGGCTCCAGAGCTTTTGGCCCATTGTAGGAAGCAGAGGGGCAGAGGGACAGGACGCGGTGGTCTCAGCGGCCTTGCTTACGGGGCACCTGCTCAAGGCCTGGCCACAGGGCCCCAAGCTACAGACTCGAGGCTCGGCATCTGGAAACACAGCTAGTCCTCCTTCCAACCAGCAGATTGGCTGGGCCGGTGCCTGCGCTGGCCTGTGGCCCTGGCTCTGAGGACCAGGAAAGGCTCAGAGAAAGCCGGAGGAAGCCACACCAATTAGTATGCGCTACACAGCGTTTTGCAAAATGAATATAAAACACTTGTGCTTTCTTTCTGTGTGAGAGAAAGAAGAGGGGAAAGAGAGGGAGGGAGGAAGGTTACAAGAAAGCAATATTCTACAGGAGCAGGAGGGCCTGCTGTTACCATGGTAACAGGCTGGGGGTGGGGAAGCCACATCAGCTGGTCCCTCCTCCTGGTCCTGATCCTGGCCCTGGTCTGGAGGAGCTGGCTGTCCTTCCCTGCCATCGCCGATGGGAGAGGGTGGGTAGTAGCTGGGTGCGGGAAATGTCTGAGGAAGACAATCTAAGGGGAAGGCTGTGGGCGGGGTGGAAGTGGGGTGCATATCCTCCAGGGCCTGAGAAAGCCCTTCCTTCTAGGAGATGACTTGATGCCAGCAAAGGGCACATTTCAGTGTGTGAGGTGTCATCACCTGGATGGCCTCAGCGGGCTGTCACCCGCAGCCTTCCAGCTGGCCGAGGAGAGAGTCTGTTTCTCTTGCTTCTTTCACTGGTCCATCCAGCCCCGATCTGTCCCAACCTCATCACAGAGCAGGCCTGGAAAACCCCTGGTGTCTGGGGGCTCCTCCTCTCCCCACCAGGTGCTCCTGACTGCCCCCCTCCATCCTGAGAACAGCGGACACACAGAACTTAGGTCTCTAGTCCAGAACACCCATCCTCGCCTCCTACCAAGTCTCTTGAACATGAAGTCTCAGGCCCTCCTCCCCCTGCTCCCCGTCCCATGTTGGCATTTGCAGCACCAGGCAAGAAATGGAAAGTGGATGGTTTTGAAGAGCTGCTGCTAAGGGGGTGGATGGAGCGGCCTCCCATTCCATCTCCCCCTGGTCTTCGAGAAGCTTTTGTCAAAAGTTTGACTAGGCCATTGGGCAGCTGACTGAGTCCCAGATGGCAACTAGCCAGCCTTCCCATAGGTCCATGAGGAGGGAATCCTTATGTTGACAGGAAGCCCCCAAGATAGGGCCTCTCCAGTCTGGGCCAGGGGAAATAGCAAGAACATTTCCAATAGACACACCTGAGTGCTGGCAGGGGAACTGAATTCAGGCCCGTGACCCTGGAGGCTGAGGTCTGGTCACTAGGGGTAATGTCAAGGGCATCTGGAGTCTCTGCCCCGAGCTGGGTGGCTGTCGGGCCGTGCCTGGGGTCTGTCTCAGGTCAGACTGCCCCTTATTCTTGTGAAGTGGATCTGGAAGTGAGTGTAGAGGTCCTGAGGCCAGGCATCCCCGAGAAGACTTGAGGCCTTCTGCTTCCTTCCACATGGAAGTCTCTTCGCTTCCTTTACTGGAGCACAGCCCAGCGGGTCAGGCTCTGTGCCCCCCGTCATATACCGTGTCCTTTGCTGGCTTGGAATTGGCCTCTGCTGTCTCAGGAACCGGTCCCCGCAGGCTCCAGAGCAGCCAACCCAGGGGAGACCCCAGTCTGGGCTGAGTGAACCAAAGTCCCAGAGGCAGCAGTCAGGCCCAGCCTGGTCCAGGGAAGGGGTGGTATTTTGGGAAAAGCTCTGGACTAAAAGGGGGTGTGGCAGGCCATGCCATCTCCTGGCAGGTGGGCCCAGGCAGCTGCCCTGCCTCCTGGGCAAATAAGGAAAACCCTGCCAGGAAGCAGAGCCTTTATTTATTTATTTTTAAAGATTTATTTATTTATGCGTACAAG